AGTTTTGGTTCCTGTGACCGAAAAACAGATTGGCAGACATCTCTCTAAAAACGGCACTTTATTTACGATTCTCGAAATGCATTTCCACCGCCGACTAGAAGGGTGAAATTCGTCGCCATTTAAAATAGCTTCCTTTATTGTGGGCGATACGTTCGATTGTTTCATAAAAATATTATTTCAATTTCTAAAATATGACAGAGGTTTAGCGCGGTATGAATTTGTAATTACGTAATTAAAATACGTAATTAAGATTCCGTGTAGTGATGGTTTTTCTTTTCTATTGCCAGAATCTTATGTTCTTAAGAGTACAAAAACACCAAGTATAATAAAAATTGAATTTTTTAAATTGCATGAAATTTACATAATTCTTAATAATTAATTTTTTTTTTGTTATTATTATTATTCGTTGCTATCTAAACTGAAAATTTTCCTTCCTTAAAAATTTTTCATTCAAAAATTTTTATTCTTTTGCTAAAAAAAAATTAGCCACCATTTTCGCACTATTAAAAATTCTCCTTTTTTGTTCACAATTTTCAGAATTTTCACATTTCACACAATTTTTATTCAAATAGAATTCATTATTTTTTTTTTTTCTTTTTTGTTTATTTTAATTTTGCTTTTAATATTTTAAATTTCTCCTTTTATTATTTTTAATACAAATATAAAATAATTTCCTTTCCAATTTGATTTTATAAATGTTTTTTTTTTTTGTTAAATTTTTTTTTTTATAATTTATGATTAAATTTTGAAATTTCATTTGTTTTATTTTTTTTTCCCTATTTTTTTTTTTGTTGTTATTCGCCATTTTATTGTGTGACTATTCAAATTCATTTCAGTATGAAAAATGTTGATTTATACATTTTTTTTTTTAATATTTTTTATTATTATTTTGGATTTTTAATGTGTTTTTAATATTTTTTTAAATTAATTTTCATTAAAATACAATTTTTTTTTATTTATTAATAAATTGCATTTTTTTTGTTTTTGTATCGAAATTTTTGCTAATGGGAACGAAATTTCAATCATACATTTTTTTAAAATATTTATGTAATTTAATAAATTAATGTATTTAATAAATTAAATAATGACATAATGTTAAAAAAAAAGAAAATGAAAGAAAATAATTGGGAAAAAAGGATAGCATTTGTATACAATGGACTTATTGATTAAAGTGAATAAATGTTAAATAAAAATGAACGACGCGATATAAAAATTAAATTTTTGTTATTGTTTTAAGAATTAAGGTTGTTAATTTTAATGATTTTATGAACTTTAAATATATTGAAAGTTGAAGGAAATATCGAACCTATAGAAAATATAGAGCAACGGCAAAAAAGGATTTTTCAATAACTATTAATGTTTATTGAACTGCAGTCGTTTCGTTTAACAATTGGTGATTAAATTTGAAATAAATTTTTTGACGGCAAATAAGGCCAAATAGTTTGTTTTTAGTAGTTTTTCGGCTTAGAAAATATAGTTTATTTTGTAATTGTTACGAATATATTTTTGAAAAAAATTGCATATATTTAGGGGCAGAAGTATCCAACATAAAATTAGAAGAAAATCAACTTTAATAAAGTGCGTGCATAAAGTACAAATTGGACACGAAATATATTTCAGAAAATAAATATTGAATTCTGAATAAAATAGAGTTTTCTTCTAATGCAAAAATAAAAAAAAAGTTTTTTAACCAGTTAAACTTTCAAAACGAATTCTAACAACAATAATATCAAATTAATCTTCAATAATATGTGAATTACGAATATATTGATAATTCTTTTGTGTATAAATATTTTGGAATGTAAAACTGTCGTTTTCTTAATGTACTGCTACATATATAACATTGCACAGATTCTAAGGAGCAAGTAAAATTTTTATATGGAGATCATGTTTAGAGCTCAACTCGTACGAGGCTTTAAAGTCAATACCGAGTGTTCTCTTTTTATTTTTATAATTTTATGTATAACTTTGGTTTGAGATAGACTTTTGTCTATGTTTATATTATTCAATATTGAAAAGAAGATCATAGTTAATAATGATTTGGCTGCAGAATTTTCAAGATCTTGCGGGCTATTTAAATACAAATAATATTAGTTTTATTGAAATGAAAATACAAGTAATTTAAACTAATTGAAATAGTGAATAATTTTATTGGCATACCAAAGTTAAATAGTAAATTAAACTATATTTCTGAGAATATTATTGAAATTTTATTTTCAGTGGACTTTCATTCCTATAGGTTATAAAATCTAGTACAACTATAATATTAAATTTAAGAAAATGCACGTGGAGTAGTATAATATTCAAATGAAAACTGCTTTATATAGCCACCTATATATTATATAAAGGATACACTCATTTTGTAATGACGTTATGTGCGGATCAAATTCTAAAAAGATGCTGTTCTACCTGTCTGTTATTTCTCTCGGACTGTTTATTAATGAAGCGCTCATTTGAGAATGCAAATATGTAGTAACTTGAAATTTACTACAAAGCACAGGTCTTTCAGATCCTGATAAAGGTATTTAAAGAAAAATATATAAATACAAAAAATCGGAGTACAAAGGTCCCACATTCCCGTCATTGCAATAACATAAATTTGTTTGTTGTATATGATAATGAAAAATTTTCAAAAATTTTAAGATTAACTGAATTCTTGGTATTTTAATGAATTAAATAGGAATAAGGGCTCCTATATAAGGATTTTATGAAAGAATTTCTTTTAATAAAATATTCTCCATATTAAACATATGTTATCTACGCATTATTATCTCAATTTCGAATTAAGATGCCATTTTTATATTATAAATAAGATCTACAATCAGAAAATTTTAAGTAGATTCCAGGAATAGAAAATTTTCAGAAAATTATTTAATTTCTGAGAAATATCATTATTTTCAAATCATTTACTTTGACTTGACTTGAACAATTACCTTTTTAAATAAAATAATTTTAATAGCAATTTTTGATATTATATAAATCCTTTCAACTTTCAACATTTCGCTCTGAAATTAATTAATTACTTAATTAACAAAATTAAAACGCAAAAAACAAAAGTAAATAAATGTGTTACATAAATTTAATCAAATTATTACACATTATAGAAATCTGGATTTAAATAATTAATTTGTATTTATAGACCAAGCCTTTTTTTTTATTTTTGAATTTTGTAAAATAATTAAAAAAATCTGATGTGGTCAGCACATAACCGACCGCATTGTGTATTGTCTAGTTAAATAAAAGTGTTACAGAATATTATAAAATACTTCTTTCCAATTTTTAGGACATTAGTAAGCTTATAGTTAACATACTTAGAAAAATGTAAATTTGGCTCTTAGTAGAGTTTCGCTTTGTGCTACCCGAATTCCCTGAAATGCTCGCCAGTTAGTTTGGGTAACAACCAGAACTCAAATATCAAATTTCAAGAAATTCCATCAATTTGTTCTGTGGATATGGTGAAAAATGTAAAATCGGCCCGCAAATCAGTTCTCGAGCCCTGATCTTTCCAAAAAAGTTACATGTTCATTGCTTTAATATGAGGAATTCATATATTAAATTTCAATTAAATCGGTTGATTATTTCTCTTTATATACACAAAAGTGTATGTTTGGCCCGTAGTAAACGTCTAGTTGCCGATGCCTGATCTTTCCAAAAAATTTACATGTTCATTGTTCTAATACGGGGGATTCATATATTAAATTTCAATGAAATCGGTTGATTATTTCTCTTTATATACACAAAAATGTATATTTGGCCCGTAGTAAACACCCAGTTTCTGATGCCTGATTTCTTCCAAAAGTTAGGTATTTTTGCGTATGATCGAGCAAAGCTTATATATGAAATTTCAAGTAAAACGGTTGAATACTTTCTTCAAAATGGTGAAAAATGTAAAATCGGCCCGCAAATCAGTTTTCGAGCCCTGATCTTTCCAAAAAAGTTATATGTTCATTGTTTTAATACGAGGAGTTCATATATTAAATTTCAATGAAATCGGTTGATTATTTCTCTTTATATACACAAAAATGTATATTTGGCCCGTAGTGAACGTCTAGTTGCCGATGCCTGATTTCTTCCAAAACACAGGAATTTTTGCGGACGGTCGAGCTGAGCTTATATATAAAATTTCAAGTAAATCGGTTGAATACTTTCTTCAAAATGTTCAAAAATGTAAAACAGGCCCGCTAAAAAGTGCAGTTCCCGAGGCCTGATATATACCAAAAGTTGATCGATCCGTGCCATGGTGGAAACAAACTTACATATAAAATTTCATCAAAATCGGTTCAGCCGAACTTGAGATACACGCGTGCACACACAGACCGACAGACGGACAGACCGACAGACCGACAGACCGACAGACCGACAGACCGACAGACCGACAGACCGACAGACCGACAGACCGACAGACCGACAGGTTGCTAAAAATAGTTTATTTACACTTCCCTACTATGGAGAAGTACGTTCCCACCGAAAACTCGATATGCAAAATTTGTTGCCATCACATAACCTACCTATTGTTTACACAATACGGTCGGTAAAAATAAATGAGCGCAGGCGCGGTCCTGGTGTATTCGTCGCCCTAAGCGGTTCCTAAAAAGTGCGCCCCCCCCCCCCTTCAACCGTTTCACCTATTTTATTACTGTGAACAAAATTTAATGGGCATTGCACATTGTGCATCATAAAGCACTTTCTTGTAACCTTATTATGCTGAATTATAGAATTAAAGTCTGGAACTAAACTTTCAATTTTTTGTTTTATAAATTCAAAAACAAGGTAATTTATTTAACTGTACGTTTTTTTATGAAGTTATGGTCAGATTTATATCAATCATTTAAACTTGATTTTTTGATTTTAACAACCAAAAAATTTACTTTTTGACGTACAAGTGAAACTTATTGTAAAAGGTTCTATGAAAATTATATCAAATGAACTTTTTCAAAGCTTATTTGAATATGAAAAAAAGTAAAAATTTATTTTTATTTTTATTCGTAATTTTAAATTTACTATTAAAATTTAGCTTTTTGTTTCACAAATCGCCTGAGAAATGAAGCAGCGTATAAAAAAAGTTTCAACTTGCATTCAAAAATTTAAGGAAAATCAAAGTTTCGTTCTAAAATTTATGACTTGAAAACTAAGCTTTTTATGAACATTGGTACAAGCTTTTATACTGTACATTAAATTTTTTAAACTTTATTAAAATAAATGCATTTACTGGTATTTATAGGCTTGTTTTTTTGAAATTTCAGAATGTCTAAATGGAGATAAATGTGTGAAGCAAATTATGCGCCATTTCATTTTACTCTTATTTTTTGGATGACTTACACTACATCAATTCAGCATAAAAATTCTTAACATTCGCTTGATTATTAAACAACATTTTTTCAATTCAATATAAGTAGTAGATATTACCAATTAATATTTAATTCTGTGATTGATAACAGTTTTTTCAAAAACGAAAGCAGAACATAGTAGTAGAAATTCATAACGATCATGTAATTTTAAAATTCATTCAAAATTTTTTGTTATTAAACAAAAACAAAATATTGGTATACACAATCTCAATATCAAGCTATGCTTTCCATCATTTAAGAATATTGCTCTCATTCTCTTTTTCTAATTTCTTTCTATTCTCATTCTTAATTTTTGTTTTTTTTTTTTTTTGTTCTTGTTGTTTACTAATGCAATAGTATACAGAAAACGTAATACATTATAATAATGTGTTTGTTTGTTTGGTGAGTGGGCGCCAACTAAGCAAAAATAAAATTTTGCATGTATGAAACAATTTAAATATAATGTGTACGAACGAGTGTAGCCACTAAGCATAATAAAAACATTGCTTTGTGATATAATTATATGTGTACGAGCGAGTGTTGATAGGGAGCAATCTCAGCAAAATAAAAATTTTGCTTTATGAGATAATTATATGTGTACGCATGAGTGTTGATCTTATTCATATTAGACAATATAAATTATGTGTACATGTGTATTTTTGAATATTTTTATTTTTTGCGTACATTGCTTCTATATATGTATGTATATTATATGAGACGATTTCACTTATATATATGAACGATTGAATGTATACAACTGTGTGAAATAATATTCTGTGTTTATAGGCATATACAATACATAAAAAATAAGAATGAAAGAGTAGTGTAGAGTAAAGAAATGTATGAGTAATTTTAATTCTATGAACATTTTTTGTTATATGGTGCAAATAGAAAATATGTGTAGGAACAAAATATTATGTTTGCATGTAGGTAGATTTTATTAAGTTAATTTCGCTATAAATTGATGTATAAAAAAAAACTTGGAATCCTTTTTTTGGGTGAAATTTTTTTTTTTTAAATTTAGGGGTTTTTTAAGTTTTCAATGGCGCCCCTATTTTTTATCGCCCATTGCAAATGCATACTTTGCATGTATGATAAATCCGGGGCTGAATGAGCGTATACAATAATAATAATTATTTATATAAATAAATTTCTAACCATGTCATTTGAATATCGCATCCCTAGAAAAACATTATCACAACTTGATTTATTTTGGAGGATCAAGGTATAATTATGTGTAATACAAAATTCACTCTTTGATTTATTTTGAATTGCTTGAGACTTTCGTTTTAACAAACTTGTACCGGAATCCAATAAAAATATACTGTTCTGACTTTTAAATTTTAATAGAGAAATTTTAACAATTAATAGAGGCTATGGAGATTATTTTATAGCTTGTAAAGTGTATAAAAAATTTGAATACAAAATACTCGTATTCTAGTCTCGAAACATAATTCTTGTAAATGTGACAGTGTTTTATTCCAAGCGATATTCTAAAGATAACAGTACGATATGCATGATTAAAATATTTGCATAATTAGTGAATGAATATAGTTTTATCTCGAATAACACCAGTTCATTTATTCAATAATATTAGTAGGTATTCATCATTTAATTTGAATTGCAGATAATTGAGAACTGTGCTGATTTAGAGTTTACAAGATTAACATTAGAAATAAAATTTCCTTTAAATGGTTAAAATTTCTTATAATTAAACAAAAAAATATTGGATTAAAGAATTTAAGTATGGTAAGAATTTTTTTTCTTCGCGTAGGACACTGACTCCGCTCAGACAATTTCGGCCATTTTGAAGCTCCATATATTAGATCTTTAGTGATTTCAGTCCCCCGCATTAGAACTGTATTTATTCTACTGACGAATTAGAATACTGCGATCACCCCTAACCGATAGATTTTCTAAATTTATGAGAATTAATTAATTTAAAATCGGAAATTTCTAATATATCGTGTGATTATATGTATAACAAAATTTACTGTTCAAATAGGCAATGAAATATTGAAGTGGGAAGAATTTTTCGTATTGTATTTTTTTTTTTGAATAAATGATGCCAAAAAAGAAGAATATTAAATTTAATTATCAGCCTTGTACGAAGATTAAATTATAAATCTTGTACGAAGATTTTTCATTGAGAAATTTCAATTCAATTCAAAAATATAAGAAATTTGATTTGTAAAGATTAAAAGTGGTGACTGAAAAAAGAATAATATTATGCATTACGGCTGCAACTTTTGAAAAATAGGACTTAACATGTTGAAGAATAGGTACCTATTTTATTGTTATTAGGTAAATGAAGGCTTGGAGTTAAAAATTATTATCATAAACACAAACCAATGTGTACATATTATGATTCATGCAGACTGCGATTAGGTTTACTGCGATAAGCATTTAAAATGTTTATAGTATAACGCTAATTTTAGAAACGGTTGTGTATCATGTTTCTCATACTGAAATTTTATATCTTTTTTTTATAAAATATTTTCCCTTTTTCCCAAATCAATGCGTTAAATTAAAAAACGGTTTTCCTGATTTAATATATTTTTAGTTTTCTAGTATTGAAGTACTGAAATAAATTTTGAGCAAAATTTAATTTTTAGACTGAATTCGTGCTATTAGATTATCGCATGCTATTCGAGTGATGCCTGTATTTTTGTTAATAAATCATAAATTACAATGTATAATTTATTAAATGTACTTTAATGTTATTATATTTATATAATAATTATTATTTATTATAATCTCTTTTTTTTTCTTTTTTTATAATTTTAGGAATATTTTTTTTTGTTCTCTTATTTAATTTTATATTTTTTTTTTATATTAAATAAATATTATTTTTATTTTTGTTTTTATTTATTTATCATCTATATTTATAATTGTTTGTATATGAAATAAAATTTGTTGAATTATTTATTGAATGACAATAATTAAAATATATTAAACCAATAAGTAATAATATTATATTGAACCAACTGTAACGGCAACCTGATGATCCTGTTTGCATCGCCTCAGGATGTTCACCTGAAATAACCGCCCGTACTAAATATCAATAGTTTTATTAAAAATAATATTTTTTTGTTTTATGTTTTTTTATAAAAATATTTATGAATTTAAAAAACAAAATGGATAATAATGGCGATTTAAAATACTTTTAATTTTTTACTATTTTTGATTTTATCTACTATATAATTATGATTTAATAATGATATTTTTATATTAAAATAAATAATTTATAATATTTATATAGAATGTTGCATTCATAACCTAAAGATTAAATTATTAAAATGAAGTATGCTTTTATGATTTTTTTTTTATTAATTATGTCATAAATCTTATGGTTATTAAAATTTTTGATGATATTAAAAAAAAAGTCATTAAATCATAAATTGAAATTTTTGAATTAAAAAAGAAAATTTATTGATGATCATAGTTATTAAAAATAGAAAAAAACCTAAATGTTTTGAAAATAAATAAATTATACTCAAATAATTAATTATTTTTAGAAAATTCCTTTAAATTATGGGCACGACAGATATTACGAGTAAAAAATATTAAGAAACAAAATCTATGTGCAACATTATAGGGCAACAATTCAACAGCTACTCTTATCTTTTAAGTTATTGCTTTAGTGGATAATGAGGACATGATATGTACCAATTTGGCCTCTATTAATATGGTAAGACCACAGATTTGACACCATGAAATCACAAGATTTGTCCTCTTCTCTTGAACTGATGGGTAGTTATTTAGCGAGAAGTAAGCAATATATTAAATTTAGGAATTCTGATAGTCATTTGTAATATATATATCGGTGGGAGCTGCTCAGGGTTCTGTTCTTAGTCCACTTCTATTTCTGGTTTTTATCAATGATATTTGTAAGTTACCCTTAATTGGAGAACTATATTTATTTACAGATGATTTCTTGTCAAAGATTTGTAACTTTAATGGTTCTATTTTAAAACAAATAGGGGAAGTAAATTTTTAGGGTATAATCTTTGACTAAAACTTATCATGATGTGCTCATATTATTATTTATTATTTAGTAATTTATGTTTTTTTAATGGGATGATGTTTAAATTTAAGAATTATTTGCCAATTAGAATAAATTTGAATACGTACAGTAAGGATTCTATTTTATTTTATAGTACTTCTGTTTGAGGATCTGAAAATATTCGCAAATTGCAAATGTCTCAGAAAAAAATTTTAAAAAATATTTTTGGCTTGCCATTGTTGTATAACACTCATGATTTGTATTTCAACAATGAAATTACCTGTTATGTTACGGGAATTTTCAACTTCCAGCAAACCATTTTTATATTTAAAATTTTAAAGAATTTTGGTTTCAGTAATATTTCTATTAGCAGACATAATCATGCCTTTAACACAAGGTTTAGATATAACATAATGGTGGAAGCTGCTTCTAATTTAATCTCTTTAAGAAGATTGTCTGTAATAGGCTCTAATTAATTTAACCGCTTACCATCGGAACTCAATAATGCTAGGAATTTCAATACTTTTAGGGTGCAGTTGTAGCAATTTCGGTTATTATCGGAAACTTGGTTTCCATTATTTAGGTACATTATACCTTTTTATTTTTTTTAATTTACATTACTCTTTGTTGTATACTATTAACAAAAATGTTTGTTATTCATTAAAACCTCCATAAAATGGAAATAATAAATGGATACTAAAGAAGACTAAATTCTGAATTCTTAAAGGGGGATATTTCTTAATTAAAATAATATTATTTGTGGCAAAGTTGGTTACCATATGCGTTTGGTCCATTCCCAAATATATAAATTTATTTTTATTATATTGTAGTAATAATGCTTTGTGTGAGACGATTACTCATGTTAATTATTTTGTTCTATGTTTGAGCAGAAAAGTTATAATTTCAGTACCAAATAAAGGAGTTAAGTGGTATTTCAATTTAAAGTCGGATAAACTCACGAAACATGAGCACAAAATTAAGCGCAAAATCTCCAGCGGAAACTAAGTAAATTTGCAGCAATTTATTCTTATTGTAGTAGCCATATAAGAAAGGAAATTGATTTTAAATTATCGCACCGTCGAACAAGTAATCTGAAAATTATAATATTAGCAAATTCATATACACATATTTTCTTTTCATATAGAAAAACTGTTTGCATGGGGTCTCACATCACTTTGTTTTTTACCTTAATCAGCTTTATAAATTCCAATTCAATTTGAATTATTGCCATTTTTACACAGTCATATTAACTTCCCTTTTTAATTTTATGAAATTTATAATATATTTTTATTCATACTCGTACTATTTCAACCAAAGGATAGAAGAGAAATAGGGCAAAATAATGGTTCAGTTGAATAACATAAAGAACTATTGAAAATTGTCAATCAAATGTGCATGAATACTTTCATTGAAGGAAATCGAATTGTTGAAAAAATTCGTCATATATTTGTAAAAATCAATTGAGTTTTTGTCTTAACGATGTTGTTTTGTACAATACTCCTTAACATTAATAATAGTATTGGGTGTACAAATTCAAGTGATTCTTTCAAAATTTATCGCAATTAAATTATTATTAAAATCTTAATTAGCATAAGTGTTGACAATAAGCGTTAAACTTAACATAATTTTTTCCATTTTAATAAATTAATCTACCTAATTAATGTGAAAAAAAAGTCTTACACATGGCTCTTTTTACGCCCACCACGCATTTGTCTATGTATGTAATGAGCTAATAAATGATTTTCTTTGTTTTTTGTTTTGAAATTAATTTATTCGATATTTTATTTAAAAAGGTCATTGTGAATCAAGGATAATAGTGCGTTAATATCAATATAAAAAGTGTTTATTAATTTCATTTTAACACTTTTCATAAAAATTTTATAATTAGATGAAATATAAAACTTTTAATTAGTTAAAAAACAATTTGAAGTTTTTTCAAAAAAAAAAAACAAAAATGGGATGCGCTTTTTAAGTTAGTTGGTAGTGTAGATAAAGCTGTGTTTTTTTTTTTGTATATTATACGTAATTTAAATTAATGGAAAATAAAAGGAGGTCTTAATAAGCGTATTGTGCTTATATGAACATACATACGATTTATTTGAAATTAATTCACATGAAATAATTTTCTATAAATAAGCAGTCAAATGTAACATAAATAATCTATCAGTAGGTTTACGCGTAGGTTTATGAAAATTTTACTAAAATTGCTTCAATGTTATGAAATTGGTGCTTAATTTAAAGTAAAAACGTAATTATTTGCCCTTTGATGAGAGCCTTTTTTAAAATTCTATATTTTATAAGAAATACTGCGCAAAATATTTTAATAAATGCCATTTTTAAGCAAGTGCCCTTTCTAACAATTTTCAAAAAAAAATTGAAAAAAATTGTTTATTACTTCACTCTGTCCGTTCGTTCATCTGCCCGTGTGTCTGTTTACAAAATTTTTTAAAATACTTACGTAAAATAAAATTTTTACTTATCTCCCCCCTTCCCTCCCCTTTCCTAAGAGGTATACTACCCCAACACCCAAAAAATGCAATTTTTTAACTATTTATCACAAAGAAACCATAAGCATTTTTCAAATTTTACTAATGTATTCAATTTGAACTTGAACTAAATTCTCAAATTCAACTAAACATAATAAAGTGGACGTTAAAATTTACCGTTGCCTAAAATGCATTTTTTCCAAATTTTTTATACGGTTTTCTTCTATATCTCAGTCTGTAGGATTCAAAAATTTTAGCAGCTTGTAAACACTGATATAACAATTCATTTCATTAGAAAAAAAATTTTTTCCATCTCAAGTTTTCCGGCTCTCAAAATTTGAAAAATTTGATTTTTTGGCACCTTATATTTCCGATATTGCAAGCTTTTTTAAATTTCTATAAATGTATAAAGGCTAACGGTAAATGCAATGCCATTAAAAAATATAATTATTTTTCTTAACTCACGCAATTAACCCATAAATTTTATTTCATCCTAAATATATGCAATATTTTAAATTTTTTGGTATATTAATGAAAGTAATTTTAATAATCTAGTTACTAGTAGATCTAGTAGATCTAGTTACTTTACAAGCAATTGCTTTCATCAAACTTTATTATTTTAAAAGTTACTCATTCAATTTGGTGTACGGCCCAGAATTTTTAATGAATATTAGCGATATTTCACCGTTAGACGCGATTAATTTGGCAGACTTTCTTTAATTTGTAGTTTCTCCTGACAAGGGAAGTTGAAGAGGCTTTTCTGTTTCAAAAGAAACATAAGTGTCAACTTCAACAGAAGCAGCTGATTTTGTTTTGAATAAATATTTGTGTCTGAGTTGACTTTGTTGGTGTGATAAATCGGTTGAACGGAGTTTATCGATCCGCAGCATCCAAATAGCTACTAAAGAAAACAATTTTATTTTTGAAATCTAAGTAAGTAAGAAATGGATTTTCTATAGGAATTGATTTAATTTTGCTGTAAAAACCTTCAATGAAATCTGATAACGATTGAAATCGACAAACCTTTAAGAAAAATTATTAAATTAATCTTTTTATAAGGATGACTTGAATAGAAAACTAAGCATATTGGTAGTTTTGTTGGTGTTTAAAAAATTTTTTTCTAGAAAAACTGTAATGTGTTGGTAAAATATGGTCCTGACCAGATATTATTTTTCTTTAATCAAAATTGTTTGAATAATTTCAAGTTTCTATAATGCAAACCTAATTAAAATCAAAAATTAAAAAAAAATTTGTCATAACGTTAAAAATATTTGTGCCAACTAAACATAAAATTTCAAATTTGTATGTTTACCTGATTTTTCATTATTTAATTATCAAGGAAAATGGCAGATGTTACTGTACAAGAGTTATAGATATTAATTCGATGTTGTGTTATACAAGGCAGATTTCATGAGAGTTTGAGCATTTTTTCAGCAAAGTTAGTTAAATGTTACACTTTAATTATTTTTAAACTTATTTTCGCTGAAACAAGACAGGAATTTGTGTAAGTGTATGACACAGTGTAATATCATTTGATGCTGAAACATCTGAAATTTCAAGCT